GGCCAGTGCAATTCAATTAATTAGCCCGGCCAAGAGCGCTTAGTAATTCCCTTCTTCTTTTCTGCATTTTCCCTCCTTGGTTTTCCTCGTTGCCACACGCGTGTGATGAACATTTCCGCCGTGGAAAGCGTCTGCTCGAGAGTGTGTGTGTGGTGCAATCAAAATTAATTAAGGCACAAAGAGAGGCGGCCAGATGCTTTGCATGGCTTTTCCACCGACCTGCCACTTTATTGCCTCTTACCGCAACGCTGCACCAATTTCCACTGCACCTGCAACTTCAGCGTTTTCTTTTTTCCTCTTGATCTGCCTGCATCTCACTTTGACAGGAACAGTGTGCCACCGGCGAATGTGCATAATTAGAAGTGGTTACAAGTCCATGTGAGATCGCAGAATCAGTTAGCTGAATCTGAATCTGTATCTGAATCGCTTGCTTGTCCAGCAATCAGCTGGCAACAGTCAATCAGCCGTGGAAAACTGCAGCTGCAGCTCATCCAGTGGAGTTGTAGAGGGTGCATAAATTATTTAGCCACGATTGCCGGCGATTGGTGGTCCTTAATTGATGGTGGAGTGCCTAGTTTCCAGATTTAGTGCTGTATGAAATCGTTTATACGATCCTATTTGAAGCAATGGGAATTAGATTTCTGCACCAATAAAATAGTATGCTTATTTTAACCCGCAATAAATCAGTATAGCTTTCTTTTAATATACAAAGTAGTAAAGATTTGCTATTTATCGATATTTAATATGTGCATTCCCCTCAAAACATCGATATTATCGAATCGATATTGTGAAAATATTGAAAACATCGATAATTCATCGAGCGATAATTCTTTCATCCAAAATAAGTTAATATCCTTTTGGACTTCTACCACAACAGGATTTTATATTTTGCAACCTCAAAAAGTGGCCTTTCCAAAACTTTATTGACGAGTTTTAAGTTAACAATTTATTTAGCCATCAAAAAGCACATCAAATCTTAATTGCCATAATAAGCAAATCACTTCACAGGGGCTCTTCGTTTTCCTCAGAGAACTTTCCCAGGGTAATAAGAGCGAGAAGAAGGGAGTAAAATAGTTGGATCCTCGGCTGCAAAGTGAAATGCATAATGTTGGCGCTGCACGACGCCGATTCGGTTGCAGATATAGTACCTACACAAAGCTTGAGATGCAGATACGGATGATAATGATAATGCCACATGAGCAGTGAGTGACTGAGAACAGACGGAGAGAAATTTGAGAAATGTGTGCAGTAATTAAATGCAAAACTCGAAGCGCAAGAAGGAGAACAACCAGCGACGAACAACGACGACGTCAACGATCCAAGATAATGCATAATTGCAGAAGAAGACAAAAGGAAATGCCAGCGACTCATGAGCAACGGCACAGGAGCATGCAAAATATGAGAAGAATATCTAATGCCGTGCCACCGCATTCTCTATTCTCCAGTCTTCACTCTCCATATAAATGTAGCTACAGAACTGGATGCCGCATCCACATCCATCCTTCGTTGGCTTAAAACGGCGTTCAAATTAATGGCCAAGTTTCACATGGGGCAGAAAGAAGCGCAGATGCCAACACAATTGCCAATGGAAATTGCTGCCATCTCCATCTCACATGTGCCTCATGTGTATGAGTGTGTATCTGAGCAGTGCGTCTTCGTTTGTTTGCGAAAGTTGAGTACAAGATACAAGTGGTTAGATACAAACTAGAACAGCAACTGCTGGGGAACTTGAGTTGTATTTATCTCTCACGAAGGTGAAATACTCTCTATGTCATAGTTTCCCAAAAAATATTCATTAATTTCATGTTATTGTATACCAAAAAATTCTACTTCCATATAATTCCATTTCAAGAACTAAAGATTAAATATTTCGGTTTTTGTTTATTGAATTAAATAACTAAACATTTTGTAATATTTTTATTATTATTCATTAAAAGTCATAACATTTTTAAAATCGATAGAATATAACAATTTTTTAAAGACTTATTTCTTTGAATATCCTTGCCTCATATTATTAAAATTCTTTTTGGGAATGCTTATAAATCTCATTATAATCATTGATTTTATTCAATATACTTCTTTGAAGAGCATCAACTAGAAATAAGTTCTTGTAACGAAGATGAGTTGAGAAGAGTGACTTGCGGGCTTTTTTCGTTCGTGTTAGAACACGAACTCCGCAACACGGTGGCAAATAAAAAGAAAAAAAAACAGTAGTTGCCACTGGGAAGTAAATTCCATGTTATTATTTACCAGCCAACAGAGAGGAATGTATAAACAACATTCAATCAGAAATCGGCAAGAACAAGGCGGAGTAGATACCGCTGATACACGCTTACAGATCGAGATAATAAATTTGCTGGCCCTCTCTGGAGCCGCAATTTATAAGGTTCGGTTTGCCCTAAAAAGCAGCCATTTCTTACTTATTTCACTTTTTAGCCACTGCCACTTTTGCACAGACTTTTCTTCTGGCCAAGGCGCCTAGTTGTGTGCTCTGCTTTTTGTTTGGCTCCTGGGAGAAGCCGTAAATATGAAAGCAGAAAGCAAGAAACTTTATTTGGGTTAGCGATTGTTTAAAAATGCATAAGGATGCGAAACTTGGAGTAGCTTAAGGGGAACAGCAGCCCGCAGGAGTTTGGCCAGAGGAGCTACAAAGGCCCGAAGGCAAAAAGGGGGGATTGGCCGGGGCTCAAACAGCAAATGGCGCTAAAATTGCGACACAGTGAGAAAATCTTAAGTAGCCAATAACAATCCAAATAAATATTCCATAAAAAAGCGAGAAAAAGGCAGAAAATATAAATATATCGATACTGCATCGATATTTTAGTTTTTATATGTTATCGATAAATTCGATATTTTATATTTCGATATATCAAACGTTTTTCCAGTGCACAAAATGTGAACCAAAGCAAATGTAGGAAATTGCAGAAGCTGGAAGATCTTGCCTTTGCAATGGAAAAATACAAGAAACAAGCTGGTAAGGCTCCTGGAAAACCCAAGGAGAAGACACACGACACTCTTGCAATTTCAGTTGAGTTTATCTCAACAGGTGTAGGGATTTCGGCCCATAAACTTTTTACCCCACAAAAAGCTCTGCTGATCTGGACTTAATATGCAAATAAAGCGACTTGGCTTTCGGTTATTTAAATCAAGTGAACCGCTCACCCACTCACTCACTCAGTCGGCAATTCACTGGCAAAAGTTTTTAAATTAAAAAATTATGGATGGCCAAGTTAATGGCTTTCTCGGTCAGAGGAAAAAAGAGAGGAAAATACACAGACGACAGGTGGGTGCAGTTTTTGCAATCAAGATGAGTGGGCGAAAGTGGTTCAAGTGGTTTTGTGATTGCGAATGTAAATGCAATTTCATTAAATTGAATATTTATCGGTTGTCATTGAGCAAATTGCAGGTAAATTGAGGTTTATCCTAATAATTCTACTGATGGTAATGTGTGTGCAGTTATTCCGCCAAGATAATGGACCGAAATCATCATTAGTCGAGCGCTCAGGGACGTAAACATTGTATTCTACATCTTAAAATATATTACTATTTTTGCCGACAAATTGTCAACTATTTTTGTGACTTCTAAGAACCGCTTCAGCAGGTTTCCCGGGGTATTCGCCGCACAGAAGCCGTTTGATGAGCATAAATCTTGATATCGGAACATTATTAACGTCAATTAATTCTAACTGTTCGGAGCGAAGGCCATCCATTAAGTCGATGTGGATTTTAAGGGGGTGGAGAACTCACCTGGAATGGATGAATGGATGGATGGTTGGATGGATAGCTGGCATTTCTCCGGAGACCCTCAACCTGTTTTTCTGTAATCGATACCAGTGGCTCTTCGGTCCGCTGTATTTGCTGTATTTTTAGTACTATTTTCCTGGTGGCCTGCTGTTTTCCCCTTTTTTCACGTTGTTGTCTCGCCTCACGATTTCCCAAATCCGATTATTATCAAGTCTCACGTGAGTGCACGCTTTGTTGCTGCTTATTTTTATTTTTATTTGCTCTCGAGTGTTGTGCTTTTTACAGTTTACAGTTCCTTCTTTTTCGCTGCTTCCTTGGAAAATTGCTTTGAACTTGAAAATTTCCCACGTGACGCGGCGAGAATCAATCTCTGCTTCTGGCTTTTCTTTTGCCCTCTGTTCGTGTCACATGTGCAACGGACACCCCTTGCGAATTTTCCACCGCACGAAAAGCAGCTGCACTTTGCATGTCATTCGGCTAACGGTGTCGTCTTTTTCCCGCTTTTCCCCGCTTTTCCACCTTTTGTTTCTTGGCTTTTAGCTCGCCTTGTTTTGGTTGCAAGTGTCGATTGAATTTAATTGGATAGTTTTTTCGTGCATTCCATATCTTTTCGGGGGGCTAAAAGGCAAATTGTGAATTCCCATACTCGTGGGTAATTTCTTTTATTGGTTTGTAATTTCTGTGGGAATTTGGGACTTAGTAAAATAAAAATTGAATTTTCGTGATACTTTTCTGCTTATTTGTTAGTCATCTCTTAGAAATTCACTCCACTTAAATCATAAAACAACAAACCCTAATTGAAGTTCTATGCTGTTTTAAACCTTCTTTGGGTTCTTTCTTTACTGAATGAAAAGTAAGAATTATGCAGCCGCATTCCGAAGTTGGGTTTTTCCATTAGCACTCGGTTCTGTTGCTTCTGTCGTTGGGCACTTTAAGCACAACTTGTTCGTGCCATTTAGCAGATCTTGGCTAGTCTTCAGGCCAATCCATTGCAGAGTTTAGTGTGAGTCAGTAAAAGAACAAAAAAGAAAGGTAATGATGGCAAGTCGAATTTTATATGCCCTTTTTAGCTAAAACCATATCATGCAACTAAAATCATATTACAGAAACCGAATAAATTTAACAGATTTGTATGTAGAGAACATTTATTTAGTCATCTATTGTGGTAAATCAAAAACTTATAAAATCAGAACATTATTTAAGGAATTATTAACAAAATAATTGTTAAAGGTAGATCACCGATTTTTTCATAGTTCCTAGTTTCTATTTATAAGATCCTCTGTGAAGGAAAAAGATACATTTGTGTCGAATTGTGGTTTCTTGTCGAAGTACCACTGTAAAGATAACATATATTCTCCGGTTGGAAAGGGAAGCTTCAACCTTTCGGGCCTCAGATAAAAATCCTTAAGATATTGTAGACCCTGTGATGGTGGGATGTCAATTTAAAATTGTTGTACTTACAGTGTATTACTTACAAAAAATGGGCATGTGTGATTTATGTTGGAGAAATCTTGGAAGAGATCAAAGATTATTTTTACAATGGGATTGTAGCTCTTCCGCATATATCGACACCCATCGACTTTTGCATTTAATAACCAGGGCTTAAATCCGCTTGCCTTCTTTAAAATCCTGGCATAAATAGTAATGTCATTGGCGGGGTGTAGAATAGTTCCGTTTACGTTGAGAAGCACTCTATCACGGCTGACGGCCTTAAGACGATAATGATGGAAGACAAACCATGACTTATTGTGACTTAGGCAGACGAAATTCGTAAACTTGAAGACAACTGCATCCTGTTGAGTGGGATAAGTTGATTAAGCATTGAATTAAAACTCGAATTTCACATTTCACATTTAGGGAAAGGCTATTGATGAGGACTGCCGCGCAGAGAAGACTTGTAACTAGCTTTGACCACATTGTACTAAACCAGTTCGGGATTTGTTATAAATGTTATTTAATGACATTATAAAAATACTAATCGATTGAGTAGTTTTGATATTTAATGATGTCATTATTTTTCAATTAGAATTAGACGCAACAGATTTGTATAAATGAGAGACAGCAGACGGACACTCACATCGATATCTTAATCACAATCGATATTTTAAAGTTGCGATTTTTGGTATATCCGACCAGTTTTCATTTTGTAAGCCACGATATTTTTTGATATTTGAAATTTCGATATCTCAAACTTAACGATGTTTTCAATGAACTATCAGGATCGATATTTTGGTCGATATATCATATCGGAGTTTTTCCTCACTTCTGACTGAAGTCAATATACCCTCTGCAAGGTTATAAAACCTAAACAATGTGATTTTCTGGGTATGCCAGGTACAGTGAACACTATGAGCTGCAGATGCCACTTACTTTGCGAGCACGTTCCAATCAAGGGGGAAGTGCATAGTTCGCGAGTCGTAAACTAGGTTTTTAACGATTGCTTCGCTGAGAACGAGACTTGGCCAAGACCGGTGGCAATTAAAAAGAAGTTAGCACTTGGCCACTCGGCGGAAAAGGGCGACAGTTCATAGATGTCAAGTTCAGGGTTACTTCAAGGGCTTCGTAGGAATCACCTGTCAGAGTCCAAAGACAAAGTGAGTAATTAATTTTCGAGCGTCTTCATCCATCAAATCTTCAGTCTTTCATGGGAGTTGCGCTGTGAGAATCTTACTTTTGATTTAATGAGTTTTTTATTGCCTGTTCTCAGAGGATTGAATTCTTGAAGGCAAAAGGTTCAATGGGCTTTGGCTTTAATTAATGGCTAATTAAATCCCCGATTTGATTTGGGCTCCTCAGGCATTTATTCAATTTAAGACTGGTTAATTGCGGCCCTAGATTAACCGTTTAATTCTGGGTATTTCTCTAAATGTTTTATTCCTTTAGTATTTAACTGGCTCTTTTTATTCAGGATTTAATCAAACATTTTCCCCTCTCTTTTTTAAAAGCCATTTATAAGGCTCTGCATCATCCTCATTATAAGCCTACTGTGCTGTCATATGGTTTTCTGGTGATCACGATGATGATGATGAAATCTAAGCGGCTTAAGTTTTAGTAAAAACCCCAAATGCAAAAGGCTGCCACTGCCAACTCTTGACTCCCATGTGGCTGCGTAATCAAATGCATGTAATTTGAGTTTAATGAGTGTCAAAGTTATTAAAAATCATTTGCTCCGACCAGTTATGGTGGCTTTTCAGCCAACGGCTTTGGCTTTCGGCCAGTTTTCGGTCCATGAAAGGCATGGGGCTACCGCTAAAGTTACAAAATCGTTTCGAGACATTTTTGGGTTCGTCATCGGACTTAATTACTGGCCGAAAATTCTGGTTAAATGAAATGTGTCAATAAATTCAAATGGCGGCATTCGAAGCCGAAATTGAGTTATTAGAAGGAGGCCGCTAAAAACCAAAGTGAGATCTTTTTATAAAGTTGTTTTGGTGTCAGAGACAGCGGCAGCAACAACAACCACAACAATAACAATAACACACAATGATTACAGCCGACAGTGTCTGCTATGACCAGTTTGTCGATACTCTGCGGAAAACCACTTGAAAATTCTTGGAAAGCCAGCCGATTGTTTATATAACTTAATATAAGCTGAAGTCGCTTGATTTCTGTTTGGCCAGCGTTTCCAACGAAATTAGGGGAATTTGTTATGGCCAACAAACTATGAAATTACAGATTTGCCTGTCCTGATTCATACGCTTCTCAGTGGCTGCCAAACTGAGTAATAAATCGTAGACTCACAATTGATACACAAGTGTACGCCAAGTGACTTTTGGTTAATTTGCCCGCTAGCCATAAGACTTGGGCAGTCTGAAGCTCTGGCTGGAAATTGGCAAATGCAATTTTTATGGTGTGGGCGTTGCTCACCCACACACCCACCTTTCCCTCCCCCGAAAGGCACCCCATCACTCTGATATTGATTTGATTGTGTGCGTCTGCTGCTCTCGGCTGCTCACATGGCGTATGATTGATGGCCCTGCGGGCACGAAGGAGTAGAAAACGGCGAAGAATACGACGACTGCGACGTAAAATATGGAAGTATCCCTGCCTGAGCTGCTGCTGCTGTTGGCTGGAGATATAAATTGCATTTATTGGGAAAATTGACAGCGAAAATATTTGCACGTTAAATAGGAATTAATCAGGAAAAGCAAAGTTAACAGTGGCAGGGAAACATAATCGACTCGAAGATAACCTGTAAAATATCCTGTATTTTTTTAATCCACAAATCAGTAACATTTTTTCTGTGAAAAATATTAATTCATATTTTTACTAATTTAATTTTATTTTACTTATTATTTCAGCCGTTACCACATGACCGGCCCTACAGTTTGAGCTGCACTGGGTTCTAAGCCAGACGCGAGCAGAACGAGGAAAAAAGGGGTAAGCAGCTAAGTGACTCGTGTTACTCACAGCTAAACGCAAAACCCATAATTTTTTCCCATTAAATGTATATATCTTATATCTCTTAGGAGTCGTTACTTTTTTATGGTCGTGTTTCCATGTGTCCATCTGTAGACTTGTCGGTTGTCATTTGTTGTTTGGGTTTTGAGATTTGCACTGCATTCGGTTGAAAAACCGGTCGAATTGGTTTTGCGGCGATCGCCTCAGCATTTGCATAAAGTTTTGTTCTGTTTTTCTCTTTAATCGGTGATATTTTCTGTGTGTCTGTGTGATATTTCTCCAACCGCCGGATTTTAATTTATTTTCATTGATTGCACATATACAACTTTTGACTTAATGGCCCTCTGACGTAACTCGAGCTGCTGAAATTAGCTAAATAGTCGTAATACCCATGGATTTCTTCGAGTGTTTGCAGGATTTTCAACAAATTGTGAAATGCTACGATTTAATTAATCGATCTGTAAGTTATGTTGATTTGCTGTTGGATTTACAATTTGTTAAAAGAAACGCTGCTGGGCGTTAAAGTGATTTTAGTTGGTGGGTTGTGCGAAATGAACACCTGCTAACCAGACGTCAATTGAATTATTTTGCTGTATTTATTTATTAACTCACTTTATCAAAGTTTTTTTAAAGTTTCTTATTTTGATTTTAGCAATTCTGGTGAAGTTTCTCCAAACTTTTCCACCAACTAATTCCCAACTATAATCAAACGAAATTCATCAAATAAATGCCAAAATGTCAATGCTGCCATTTCTCCAATCGACTTTCGTTGCGATTCCCTCCTGATTTATCTGATTCTGATTCCAACTTCGGTTTCCCTCCTCTGGTTTCTGAATTCTGATTTCTGAACAGGAAGTCGATGGTTGGCCAATGGCCACCTAGGTAAGTGGGTTCTGTGGTTTTTGGGTGGCTCGGCTTCAGATGATTCGAAGGTAATTTGTTGCCGGTCCGCGGGCCTAGACAAAGGACTGATTGCCGGACTTGACTGACAGACTGACGGGCAGGGGCAGGGGCTTCAAAGGGTTAAGGTAGTGGCCACACACACACTAATTCTGCCATTGTATTAGCCAATTGCGGTGGCTCTTCCTCGGTTTCTTTTTCCTTGCGATTTTTATTTTTATTCGTACTTTTATTTCAGTTTCAGTTTGTTTGGCCAGCATAATGATGCCACTTGATTGAAAATGAACGTGACTGGAAAACAAGTTTCGGGGTTAAAGTTTTCTTGTTTTGCTTTCCTCTCGGCTGCGGTCTTCTCTCTCCACCGATTCTACTGTTCGAATAAACAGAAAATAGCAAAATAAATTAGCCAGGAGCCTGGTGCTCTCAGCCATGAACTTCTGTGACATGTTTTGCTTCCTCAGCTTTATTTACCAGCCGAGAGGAGGAAAAGCCAGGCGAAATTGCATTTAGCCATATTTAATTAAAGTTTTCGACCCGCCCGCAGTCGTCTTCTTCTCCATTCGGATGCGGTCTGGGCGCCATTTTGTTGCATGTTCCCTAACAGAATTATGTGCGCATTTCCGTTTCCGGCACACGCAAGAATGCACCGAGAGCCGTCAGCGTGGAAAGTGGCGTCTTCGATTTAGCAAGGAAACAGTGGGAGTTTCAGAAAAGGAAATCTTGAATAAAATGAGATTAAATTAAATAAGAAGAATAATTTCATTAATATTAAAATTGTATAATGTTATTATAGATTTCTCTAGTCAAATCGAATTTCTCTTTTCTATTTTTGAATGCCAATCGAATACTTAATCGGTTTTCCCATCAAGTCCCATTTATTCCACTGTCCACAACGCTGGCTGGTGGAAGAATAATAGTTTGCCATTATTAAGTTTTGTGCGGGTGGATTTTGCATTCGTTTCGTTGATGCCGCCGCCGCCTCGCCGATGTTGCTACTGATTTTAGTGCCGTTGCCAAGGCAAATTATTTGCAGCATGCACAACAGAGTGTGCCGTGCCACAATAAGTGGCTAGGCAAGAACCTCTTCCTGGCTCCCCTCCGCCGTCCTTAGCCCATCCGAAATCCCCACAAGATTAAGCCGCAAGCCATTGCAATGACAAAAGTAATTTGCTTTTAAAGCAGCACCAACTGCAGGATCGGGCGAAGGCAATTTAAATATGCATGGGCCATTATGCATAAGCGATGCTGTTGCTCCATCCTCGGATATTTGTGCACAGAGGGAAAATTACAATATTTGTAATAATCTTGATTAAATCTTATAATTCAGAATTGGAATTTTTAGTGTGACCAAGTTGCCAAGTATATACCAAGTGTGGCCATCAATCCAGAAACTAAGACAAAATGCGACCGTTATCGAATGTTTGTCTTAATGAGCAGTTTCTCCCAGTGCACTTATACTTATTGGTGTGTGCCACATGCAACTTCAGTCGCATTTAGTTGCGCATTCGAGCAAACCCAATGGGGCTCTCCACTGACCCACTAAAGTCGCCCGTTCGCTCGGTTCACGGACTCCAGGGACCTGGTGCTGTAACTAATTCCGAGTAAGGCCCATTCGATGTGGCATATTTAAAACTTAATTTACATGGCTGTCCTCTGCCCGCTTAAGCCCTAACCTTTAGCCCCTCCCTCGGTCGCTCGTGCTGACCCCTTCGCTTTCTGGCTCAAAAGCCTTAAACTCTGCCAGCTGCTTCGAACCAGCGGAGCACTTTGTCATTTTCAGTTTGTCACACTTTTGCCCAAATAAAATTTCATCGCCTGTCATAAAGCCTTGAGAGGCAAGTGTCACAAGCACTTAACTCAAGGAGGTGCATGGGCTGAAGGGGGTGGTGCCGAAAGTGGGAGCGAAACGGCACTACAAAGAGCTTGGAAGTGAAGGAGACAGCAGCACTCAAAACTGCTCAAGTGGGCCAGGCCCAAAAAGAAATATGTCGAACGAAATTCGTCATGTGCCCAAAATCAGAAAAAAGTGGTAAGGAAAAGCCGATTTATTTTCTATTTTTTGCCACATTTTCAATTTTTGTAAATCAAAATTGCTGTTAAATAATCATAATAAAAAAGCTGTAATATTATAAGCCTCTCATAAAATTCTCTGCCAAAAATAGACACCTATCTCTTTTTAAGACGGCTTTTCCTTTCATCTTCCAGCCATAAAACAACCTCATCAACACCTTGTCTATCTGCTATTTTTATCCCTTATCGCCTGTATCACTGACTGCAGAACCAATTAATGTTTACCCCAGCCCATAAATATGTTTGCCGCTGTCAACAATTGATTCCCTCATAAAAAGTGAACCATAAAATTACTCCCCGCCCCAAAAAGATAGCACATGCACCTTATGCAATACATGTTTCCTCTGTAAGGCAGGCGAAAAAACTTTTGGCATTAGCTGGCGTATCCAAACCAAATAACTGTCAGGGCTAAGACAATAGAAAGGACAGACAGCAGACACATCCTATATGTACAAAAAAAGGGGCTGGGTAATGGCGATTCAAAGAGGGGAGCACCAAAAGTTGCTACTTTGACAGCCGCAAGACAGCTGTCTGTTCGAAGAAAAAACCCACATTTACGAGGGATGAGGGATAGCGAAAAAAAGAAGCGAAAACATAAATTTTGATTTACCCGCCTGACAGTTGCTCTCTGAATTTCACACGCACCCCACCAAAAAAGCGGCAGAGGTCGGGCTCAATTTTCCTATTAGCTCAAGTGAAAAATCACTAGAGGATGGGGCCCATTTTAGTGACCAGTAAATCAGATAGACCTAACATATGCTGCAGAGTATTTCAAAGGCCCATTACGGGCTAAAGTATGGACCAGTAACTTTTCCAATTAAAAGCGAAATAAACTTTTGCCTCCGGAACTCGCTGGCTGAAATTTCAATTAAAATCATGACTGGCTAAGCTGGGATAGCCAATAAAAACAGAGCCCATCGAATGATATTACCCACCTGCCCGGCGTTTCTTGTCTCTAAATTGAGTTCAAGTTGAATGACTTTGCTGTGGCGACCACGTGGCGTATGCTTAATTATCGCAAATCGCTTCCAATTAAAGTGCCCCAGGCAAATACACAAAATCTAAGCAAACGCCACTTTTGGCTTATCACTTATCACTCTTTTTTTTGCCTCCTCCACAATCACCTTTATTAATTCCAATGCCTTCGCTTATCACAAAAACAGAAGTCTGGCGACGACACTCGACTTGAGGTTTTTGGTTTTCTGCTTTTAAGTTTCAGCTTTTTATTTTCGTTTCGTAGCGTCTTTGTTGATAATTTCACTTGAACAGCTTGGAAATTCGTAGCTTTGATTGACAGTCGAGTGGCGGCCAAGGTAAGCGAGTCACCTGTTTAAACGCAGTTTTCATTTCTCGTATTTACTTTTATTGATATGCGTATTTGTGCTCTTAATTTATGTATTTCGGTGGAGTTTTTTGACCGTGACATATTTTTGTTGTATTTATTTTCGAGCGTAATATTAAAAACGGGGGCACTGAACCAGGGAAAAGTTGACGCATATGTACTTAATTTTACTTTTATAAAGGGAACTTTTGGAAGTGAAAGAGAAGCAGGTGATAATTATAAATTTGTTTACAGTTTAAATATAAATATTAATAGGTAACAAGAATCTTGAGTGATTTAATGATAAAGTAAAATTTATTGCACTGATAAGGAGGAACAACTATTCAAAGCGAAATAAATAAAAGTAAAAAGTTAATTATAACTAGAGGATTTATTACGGTCATTAAGAGATTTTAAACCTTTCTTGGTTGTTTTTTATAAATATTTAGTAATATGTTACACAATTTTGTATATTTAAGATTTATTAAGGATTAAAATGTGGTTTTACCTTTTCATTTGTAGAAGTCTTCCTTTGAAACCCTTGGCTGAAAAGCCTTTCATCTTTCATGTTTCACCCGCAGCACCCACAGCTTTTATCCTCAATTACGATTTATCTTTTCCCGCAAGCGTTTTCCGTTTTACACTAGTTTTCCCCCATTTCCCACCCCCTGCCGCCCCAAAAATGCCACCACTAACTAGTTGAATGCAATCAACACGCTCGCAATTAAATGCGACAAAGTGCAGACTTGCAGATGTGGTTGTTGTTGTTGTAGTTGTTGTTGCCGGTGGGTAACCCGTTCCGCCCACAGTTCCAGTTACCTCAACGTGTCCCGCTCCGCCCCCTTTTTCCACCCCATACAAAAGCGACAACTGTCAGCGGGTCTTTGGCACACATTTACATGCCTGCCGCCCCTTTTTGCCCCGCCTCTCCTTTTCTGTTTAGCGTGTGAATTTAATTTGTGCATAATTGCAGTTGCAACTGCCATTGCAGCCATAAAATGTCAATATCAAATTGTAATCAACAACGAGAAATGTGTTTTCTTTTCACTATGACACTATTTTTTGAGATATTTAGACATGAAAAGGGGCTGGAAAAGCGGGCCAATTGACTGACTGACTGATACGAAGTGCGTAGGAAAACGGCTGTCGAGGATATGAAAAAGTAAACCAATTTAAAAATTAAGTTTAAGTGCGGTGCAAAGTGGTTTTATTTTTGTATCTGGACAACAGGAAAGGGGGCTTAATAGTTTGCCTTCTGCAAATGCGAATAAAATTCTCATGCAAATGAAAGTAGAGAGAAAATGCATGGCTTAATTGGCAAAAGCTTTATTATTCAGTACAACTTATTTTTAATGCCTTTTTTATTAGGAATAATAACACTGGGAAACAGGGTGTATGGTGTATTTGGGATATTAAATTAAGCCAAAACAAACTATATGGGGCTTAGAATATTCCAAGCATTTTTAAAAATAAATTTACCATTATGAAAATATTTCTATTTGGGGCAAACAAATTTCTTAAATATTTTATATTTATTTTGATCTTCAACTGATCTCTCTGGCTATTACTTATCCCCCAACCTAATTTAATTAATTTCAGAACCACCATGCGACTGACTCAACGAAGGCCCCTCAGCGAAATGTCCAAGCGAAACGGATTCCAGCAGCAGAAGGCCATCAAATAGATTGGCAATACAGAAATTAAATAAATTAACCGAAAATCTGCAAAACCCCAGAGAATATACACTTTGAAGTGCCAAAAAAAGAGAGAAAAGCGCTGAAGCTACGAGAACTCCCAGAGGAGAGGGAGAAGGTTCGGTTTTTTTCCATAGACCGAGCGTTAGAAAGCCGCCAAAATTACGACATACCACCCACCCACGCCCAAAGTCAAACAGAACCCGGCCAATACGGACGCCATGTCCGGGCCGGGGGCTTTTGACGATGAGCCACCTCCAGAGCCCCGAGACGGATGGCTACTGGTGCGCATCCACGTGCCGGAGCTGAATGTCTACAAGTGTCTGCAGTTCCCATCGGAGCGGCTCGTCTGGGATGTCAAACAGCAGGTGCTCGCCTCGCTGCCGAAGGTAAGTCGGTCACTGTCATTATCATCAAGCGATTACTATTTAACCATTGCGATCGTCATTATACCGCGGTGTATATAGAGCAGTGCATGTCTCAGGTGCGCTAGAAACTCACTAAACGGGAAGTTAAGATTATTTATTATTATTATTATTAAGAATTTTAAGTTTCTTTTTATTTTCCACATCTATAAATTTTAACAACCTTTTCAAAGGCCTGCATAACGTTCTAAATACTGTAAATACTGCTCGAAGCATCCATTGCACACACTCAAATCTCAGATATTTTAGACATAACCGGTATCCAATTCATCCTCGTAGGCGAAGAGCAGTTCTATGTAGTAGGACCAAACCACAAACCACGCATAGAGCAAAATGACTTTGAAGATAATAAAGAGATTAGTTATGGAGACAGTAGATCTGAATATGATATGATACCCACACATTGTGATGACTGTCAGGATAATAATGACAGTGTTGAAGGTATAGACGGTCAAGGCGAAAATGTGAACAATTATCCAGACGGGCGCGAATCCCAGAAAGGGTATAAAGAGCATCTCGTTGTTCTGAAAGGAAGTGGGATACAAGGGTTGGTAAAACAATCGAAAGCACTATCGATACTATCGATAATAATCTTAATAGTGACCATTATCGACAGCGAAAACTATCAATTGTGCCCACTATCGATGTATGTTTTTATTTGATATATTAAAGATTCTTTAATAGGATATACTTATAAAGCACAAAAATATCTTATTATTAGAGTGTTTGTACTACTTACATTATGCACTCCCATGCATAGCATGGCTGAAGCAATTACTCCGAAGAAGGAAAAGACCATGGTGGCCTTGAGGGCCGCCACTGCTGGGAAGACAGACTTCTGGTACTCCGACGGGAAAATGCACTCCATCATGAACCCAGTGCCGATGGTAATGTACAGGAACCAGGTCAGGAAGATGCATCCGAAGAGCAGGACTCCAAAGCGCAGCGAATAGCAGAAGCAGCATTTGGTCAAGATCTGCTTGAGATATCTGCAGCGACAAGCCATTTTGATACGAAACTGCTCTACTAATTTAAAACAAAAATTTCTATATTATCTTGGAAGACTTTCATTCCCTTTACTATTAGATTTCTATTAAAACTATGTATGTATTGACAAAATAGGAGATGTTGACTAGATTGAATCATCAGACTCCACACTGCTGAGATATTTGTAAAATGCATACACTATCAGCAGGGAGTAGACAAGACCAACTATGGGAATTTTGAATATGATCTGTTAATATTCCAAATAATAAAACAAGTACCCACCTATTATAATAGCCTGAACGCTGATCATAATCGGTGCAGGTTTCTGCCTTGCCAGCTGGATAATGGCCAATGTAATGTACAGGGCGAGTATGAATACATATATGATCAACCAGAGAAGGACATAACCACGCTTGCGCTAAATTAAAAACGTTATAAATAAGAGGTATCTAGAAAGTAGAAGACTCTTACCTGGGAAGCCGCGTAGATCAGAAGTATGGAGCTCAGGGTTCCAAACACCAGGATCGGACACAATATGACGGGGGCCCACCATTTGTCTCCCGTGTTCCTAATAAATACCGAATCACCCTTATGGGTTATCAGCTCCCCAACGTGGAAGCCCGTGAAGATCCCTCCAATGATCATGCAACCCACGCTTAAAGGCAAGAAAAAACAGCACTTCTTTAAGAACATGCCGCTGAATAAGTAGGACTTTTAGGTGAAAATTTATATATTTATCAGTTTTTACATGAATTTTGACCGAGACTCTAGAAGGCAAAGATCAGTTGATCTGGGTTTTTTTAAAGTAAAGTATTTTTTAATCCATTTTAACCAATTTCGTTTGACCCACACACAAAAAAGCTATTACAGCGGAATCGCAATGCAATTCCTCACCAGATGTTGTTGATTGAAATTTAATCCAGCCAAAGGCTGCCACGTGCCGCCCTTACAACATAAAACCGACCACGCCCCTGCCCTCGAATGGCTGCCAAATGCCCTCGTGAAGTTTCAATTTTTTGAAGTTCAATGCAATTTTCCGGCAACTGCAGTGTTCAGAGTCGTGCACTCAGTCTGAAATCGTGACGCTGCAGATCCAAAGATATTTGACAATTGAATGGCAGTCTGTCTGTCAAGAGGAAGGAATAAAGAAAAAAACAGAGCTAGAAGGAAGGTTAGATTTTCAATGATTTGGGAGCTTTAAACGGATTGGTAATGAAACAATTAGGGAATAACTAAGAAGAAACTATTTAAATGTATAATTTATTCACCTTAATTTCACTGTAATTTTCAGTTATTAATTATGTAATTTCCATAAATTACTTAAGAGAAAAAGAGGCCTCAACTACCCTGTTCCTTTGTGCTAATGAACACCAAACAATGGGTCAATCCATTGTGTACATTTAATAACAATTTGTTAAGCAAATTGCTGTCGAAACATTGTCAAACGCAAATCCAATGCGGGGGCCGCGCCCATTTCAATATTGAAACCGCAGAATTGCAAACGGAAATTCGGTGCGAAAACGAAACCGAACCCAAAATCCAAACTGAACCCGAACTCTCGAATCGATTCGAACTGAACTGCGCTGAACCGAACACAATGACCTCCAGCTAATTGCATGGCCCGGTCTTTCGGTCTCTCGTGCCGGTTCCGTTTTCGATTTGGTCAATTCCAATTCTCCAACCCGGCAAGTGACAGAAGTTGCCTTGTTTTTGGTATTTTCGGAAGGGGGCGGCGACTATTGCGGGAGGGGGCGTGGCTGCTCTGGTTGTAGTGTCAGTTTTGAGCTTAGTAAATTATGTTGTAAACTCTGATCTGGTGTGGGAAACAAATGCTGTTTTAACTCTATATCGGGTGTTTTTGGTTTGAATTGGCAGGTTCTGAATCCTAAAGCGACTGCTGCACTGCTTATTACTTTTTATTGAATAGTTCGATTTAAAAATATTAAGTTTAAGAACTTTAAAACCCTTTTCAAAGTAAGTCCATCCCTCATAGAAATTCCCAAGAGTTACCTCTTCCACCTGCTAAAGCTTCTAAAAGTATAAAGCATATCAGGTTGTCGACACATTTCCTGCTTCCATAGTCGTATATCAATCAGCGAACTGGCCGCATATCTTATCGCCGGTTTTCTCTGGCGACCGAACGTCGAACCCTATAAACGCACCACCCATATATAGCCCGATCATAAAGAATACGATTCATGCTATCATCGCACAAATATTTGCAGACCAATTGAGGTCTTTCTTCTGCATGGCTTTTCGCGCAACCTTTTGAGAGCCTTCTTCTTCGATAACTGAAGAACTGAGGACGGGTTGTGTAAATCCCGAAGAGTGAGACAAACGTGAGTGGCAGTTGGCAGTAATTTCACATTTTATCGGTCGTCGGCCAACTGATAACTTCCATAAAGGTATTATTAGATCTGGTCTGGAATTCGCTTTCGATGACCGATCTGCGTTATTCATTCCGAGCTTCAATTAAACTTCACACCATCCATCAATCAGTCAATCCGTCTGTCAATCAGTCAGTCACTCAGCCAATATGTCGCTGCTCCAGTTTGCTGCTGTGTGTGGGCCTCGCTGGCATCTCAACTTCCGCCTGCTAATCAAATCGAAATTGAAGCTTTTCTGATCTGTATTCGCTTTTGTATTTTTAGTTGTATTTTTTGCTTCAATTTCTGGGTGGGCGTTACTTACCGGTTTTGAGCCCAAGTCTAAGTCGTTTTGCTTGTAATGCTCTTTGTTTGGCCCGAAGTTCAGCTCGGTTAATAAACAACTTTGGCTCGTGGCGATAAGAAACGAGTAAGGAGAGCTTAGCCGCATATGGATTTCTTGGTGGCTCTATTTTGGCCTAAGGTAGCAATGGAAAAGACGTGTAGGGAACATTTTTAATGGAATTACGATAAGGGTTGAAGCTTATTGGAAATATTTGAATGCTTTCATAATTATAAGAAATAACTTGAACTATTTATGGCTCCTTACTTTAGTTCTACCTTCATTATTTAGCTGACTCAACGGAAAAGCGACACCTAGTGGCAAAAACTTAAATTGCTTATACCTTTTTAATAAATAGTCCGTTTTGAAAATTTAAAAAATGTTTAGAGAAGTGGAAAATAACTTGCAATATTTATGGCTCCGTACTTTAGTTTTACCTTTATTATTCAGCTGATTCAACTGTTACTCAACTTAAAACAAAGTTTGTTTTAAATTTCATTTGCAAAACTTTGTTGCAACTAAAACTTGAACTTAGTTGGCTAAAGTGCAAGCAAATTCCGACCATAAATCAGCCAAAGACCAGAGCTTCACTTCAAAGGGGATTTCTAATCGAATGCTCTTAACTTTCCAACAAGGATGGACAGACGAGTAGACAAGATAACCTAAAGTGCAGGAGAAAAAAAGGCTTTCAGTCAAGTGTGTAAATGTAGTCAGCTCAGCGAAATCGTATGTGTGTTTGCCAAAGAAAGATATTCCCTTAAAAGCCCCTAATTAACGACCAGCGCAACTTTAATCAATTGAACCCATTTCTGCGCCAAGTAAACAGAATAAATCTTGAACTCAAATTGCCCAGAAACCAACAATGGCAATTAGGCTTAGTTAATGGGCAATGGCTCAATTAAGCCGAGTTAATGTGTAGTTTCAAATGACATGCAGAGAGTTGACTGGTTACATTTTGGGTGGAATTACTGTGAAAACTTTGGCGCTGCCTAGAAAATTTACAAAATGTTTCTAAGCACTTGTATGTCTCTATATAAAGCCCCTTGTACTCCTTCTTCGCCCATCCAATCTCTAGACGCTCGTTAGATTTAATGACGCCGCATAGTTTGCGCACGCACGACATCATTTCAGCGACTTTCTGTAGCCCCCACCCCACACCCTCCATTTTGCCATTCAGCTTAAGTGGCATAGAGACCCAGTTGCAGGACCCATCTGCGTCCATATCTGCGGGGTCTTGTGTCTCTCCATTGAACCGTTAATTTGGGTGAGAACTTTACTAGGGGCCCCTCGCCATCGCCATCGCATTATTCATTCTGGCCGCCTAGCAAAACGCCAGAATGTCACATACTTTTGTGGATAATTTCATTCCCTTCGGAGGGAAGAAGGAAATCGCTTCCTTTACTGCGGAGGAGCTGAAACCATTGTTCGCAGCAATAAAGATGCTGCCGATACAGAGGGAGAGCTCCGTGCACTCGATTGTATAAGTAGTCCTCGCCTGAGATTGAATTCTCTAGTAGGAGGTGGCAAAAGAAGCTGGGAACAATGAAGTGGTAAAGTTTTATAACCATTTGATGGCGCAGGAAACAATGTGTATTCGTTTTATGGCATGGAAAAGGTCACGTCACATATAAATATTCGACAATCCCTCTCGCGGTATGCAAATATCATGTATCATGCTTTAATTCAGCCACCATAAAGTGTACAAAAAATAAACTTAAATTAAATGAAATGAAATTCATAAAAAAAACAAGAAAAGAGTTTTATGACATTTGGCTTGCCCACGCGGGCTTACATTGCGTATGCGTGATATGTAAAATATATGTTGGCTAAACATGTAAATGCCATCCATATATATATATATGTAAATTTACATGCATAAACCGAGAACATTGTAATGCGGCATGACAGGACCACTACAACATCCACCATTACGAAGCAACAAGATTCCTCGTTATTAATTAAAATGTTTTGTTTTCATTAATTTCGCTGCTGCTCCTGGCGCTTTTTTTATTTAATTAAATACAAATTAAAAATTTAAACGTGAAATGAAATAAACAAATTCTGACAACACTGGATGAACAACAACAAATGGACACGCTGCGTATACGCAATCTGACCTGCTGCATTGGAATCGATAAACAAATAAATACTGATTGAATTTACACGCCGCAATATTTGACTCGCATCTGATCCGATTTTCCTGTGCTGCCGACGGCGATACTTTCATCTTTTGGCCATCGCTGCGAATAATTGGCACAGGTGGCCTTTTGGTTTAAGGTGGGTGGCTGGTCTATAATACAACCATTAATACTTCCCCATATGCAGAGATAATTCCATGAATAATGTATTGCCGCAGCACTTAAGGGAATGTTTAATTGTCTGAAAAGGCAGAAATTACAGCAAAATATTAATTGACAAAATTTAATTGGTTGGTATAAAGAACTTTAAATTGTACAAGAAATTATACAAGAATTAAATATAATTATTTTATTTATTAAAGCCAGGGTATTTTGATCTTCGATTTCTGTCTGGCATTCTCCTCTCTGGCTGCAATAAATATTTATTAATTTTTAAGTTTAAGTTTAATTTTAATTGACACGAAACCCGCAGCGATTGTCGGTCGAACGCCTACGCAAATATTTGGTTGCAAGTTGCAACACTCGTTTCTCGCTGTTTTTTCTGTTTTTCCCGTAGCGAGACAACGAGGCAACTTCACTTCCAACTACTACGAAATGTGTCAAGTACAGCAAACAGTTACAGATTTATGGCTGGGAGTCGGAGGATGGAGAGGAGGCCCCTCTAACGCCTGCTACACGCGACCAGGAACTGTTTTTCCATATACATATACCCACTATAGTACACCTCGATCCCCCTGGGACTGCCAACTCCTCCCTTGTAATTCAATTAAAATGCAAAAAAAGGAAAAAGGCGCTTCGGGCATTCGCAAATGGAGCAAGAAACGAGATAATAAATAGGGACGAGGG